ACACACACACACACACACACACACACACACACACACACACACACAGCAGCCCAGCCCTCCCCTAATCATAACACATCAGAATCTCTCGGGTATTCCTTGTTTTTGTTCCATTTTGTATTTAAAACGTCAGCAGCAATTCCGAGGAGCCGAGGTGGGAGCCACTGGTGTGACTTTTAAGGAATGTTAGCAATACCTTTCTGTGAAAAAAGGATCGATTTTGAAAAGCTCTGTGGGAAAAAATGTGGGAGCAGCAGCAGAGCGGAAGGCCGTCTCTGACAGGCTACTCTCCCGCACGCGGTCGCGGGGTTGACACGGAAGCTGGTCGGTGACACTGTTTCAGGAGCAGGTGGCTCATTCCCGCTGCGTTGGCTCCTGACCAGGAACAGGAAGTGACACGAACCAGGAGGCTCTCAAAGCTATTTCTGGCAAACAAGTTTCTCTTAGGTTTTTCCTAAGAGCCGTAAGCGTTTCCGTAGAGCAGGTTAACTCTGGGAAGGAGGTAGATGGGGGAAGTCTCAACTGCAGTTTCTTTTTTTCTGTTTTTAATTTTTCTTTAACATGTATTTATTTTTGAGAGAGACAGAGTGGAAGCTGGGGAGGGGCAGAGAGAGAGGGAGACACAGAATCCGAAACAGGCTCCATCCAGGCTCCGAGCGGTCGGCACAGAGCCCGACACGGGGCTCGAACTCACAAACCGTGAGATCATGACCTGAGCTGAAGTCGGACGCCCAACCGACTGAGCCACCCGGGCGCCCCTCAACGGCAATTTCATCCAAAACACAAAGGACCGAAGGTCACCATGGGTTTGGAAGACGAGGTGGGGGTGGGGGAGAGCGGGAATGACGGCGAACAGGGATGTGATTTCTCTCCTGGGTGATGAAGACGAAACTATAAATAAACCAAAAACCACTGAAGGGCACACTCCAAATGGGCGAACTGGACAGTGTTACGAACGACAGCTCAACACAAGTGTTAATAAATGCAAAGGAACTGTTTCAAGTGTCAAAACAGAAGGGTTTACCTGGGTATAAATGCTAAAAATGTGGCTCTGTACTTCGTCCATGGAGTCGAGGCCATAGGCCACGGTGCCCAGGTGGAGCCGTTTGAAAACCATCTCATTCTGGGTAAGCGTTCCTGAAACACAAGACAAATCGAGTAACTGTGCCCACATCCTGGGGCTGTCGTTCACCATCACCACGGCTGCCGTTTCCTGAGAGTTTACTGCTAGGTGTTTGCGCTGGCCTCCACACTGCCCCCGCGGGGCAGACCTCTGTGTTATGTGGCCTGCCCAGAACCTAATTCCTTTTCTTTTGAAACAGCATCCTGGGGTTCCATGGGGACACGACCACCGTCCCTCCCTGGGCTGGTCAGGGTGTCTGACTCATTCCATCGGCCAGGATGGTGGCCCAGGACGTGCACTAGATTCTATGCTGAAGGCATCTGAACCTCGAGCAGACAGATACCTGGACAGAAGACGAACAGAATCAAGTTCACCCCAGTGATGGAGTCCTACAGAGACCTGCTAACGTACCCAGAAATTCTCTGGTTCTGCTCCCTCCTGAAACCTAATTTCTCTCTGATTTGGTGAGCCACCCCAGACCTTTGTAACGGACGCTCTCTTGTCCCACGGCCGCCAAATGGTAGAGATGAAGCTTAAGCCCAGGTATCGCCATGCCCCCGGCCTTGCTCTTAGTCACTCTGATATTAAATTGCAAAGTATTTTGGGGTGTGGTTACGAGGGCCTGAAGCCAGACTGCCTGCTCTGTCGCCCTGCGCTTCTGACAAGGCAGTAAACCTCCCTGTGCCTCATTTCCTCGTCTGTAAAATGGGGATAAAAATGCCCACAAGATTAGGTGGAGGATTAACTAAACAAGTATAAATGAACACCCAGAAGAGCACCCCGTGCGTAATTAGTACCGTGTAAGGCTTTGCTGCTTGACGATGGTGACGACCATCACGGTCACCGTCACCAAATAATCAGCCCTCATCCAAAGGTCCAGGGGCACCATCTCTAACACCTCCAGAAAGAATCCAGGCACCCGCCTCACCCAGAAGCCTCAGAAGGCCCAGGAAACAGCTCACCTGTCTTGTCTGTGAGCAAGTAGGAAATCCTCCCCAGCTGCTCGGGGATCGTGCTGGAACGAACCACGGTCCCGGGGATTTTCGAGTCCCTCCGAATCACCCAGCTGTACACGATCTTGCCCATGTCCAGGTTGACACGCAGACTAGTCAGAAGACCAGAGCAAACAGGTTAATAACAGCACATCTGCGAGGTTCCTAGGGTCTCTGCAGATGGCGAGGACTCTTAACACGCACCTGGGCTACAACATCTGGAACCCCTGCCTACAGACGCGCGTCTTCGGCTGAATCCCCACATCTGACAAGAGTCAACACCGCTCTCAGATAACTCACCACCCAAGTTTTCACTTTTGTGAAGCGCTTCTATTTTGGACTAAGATAAGACACTGAAAACTTTAAATGCTTTTAAAATACTGAAACGGTAGTTGTCTTAGTCCTTTTTTTTTTTTTT